CCCCAACAACTTCCATTTCTCGCATCGAACCCCTAACTAATATCTTTATTCCCCCTCTGTATTCTGTACCCAATTCCTGCCCTGAAGCTGCATCTAAGCACTCACCAACACCCCCCTTCCCAAGTGCGCTCAACCCCACATCCACCACTTCCCCCTCCAATCACTGAACGCAGGGTAGCGTTACCCAACGCTAATTGGCAGAGTGCCAATTAGTGCCGGCAAGCGGTGCCGCGAAATAGCGTTAGCAGAGAAGCTAGTGTGTGTCACAATGGCGGCGGAGTCGAATTTTAGTAACTGCACACGCGAAAACTCGAGGCTGATTCATACTCATAACATTTTATATTGGTGTGGTCTGTGGTGGTGTTATTAGCTCTGATCGTTTCAAGGGCCGCGCAGCTCTTGGGGGCTTCGTTTGTTTCCTAATTTTTTGAGCAAATTTCACTTCACACTGAACGCAGGGCAACGTTACCCAACGCTAACTGGCAAGGTGCCAGTTGGTGCCGCCAGGTGATGCTGCGAAATAGTGTTAGCAGAGAAGCTAGAGCGTTTCACAATGGCGACGGAGTCGAACTTCAGTAATCGCATACGTGAAAACTCGAGGCTGATTCATACTCATAACATTTTATAGTGGTGTGTCCTATGGCGGTGTTATTGGCCCTGGTTACAACATGGGTCACCCAGGTGTTCGGGCTTTCGTTTGTTTCTTGATTTTTTGAACAAATTTTACTTCACTTTTTTACTGTTTCAGGGGTTATGCAGCTCAGTGTTCCGGTTTTTCTGCGCCGTATCATTAACAGTCCGTATCACCCGTTCAACGTCAAAATTCATCCCGACAGATGGCAGAAACGTGAACAACTTCGGCGATTTGTTGCAGTAAGATTTGGCGCACACCTCTGTGGCTTCATTTGCTCACAACCAATTTTGATTTCTTATAAAATAATCATTTTTCTGCTTGTCTTTTTTATGCTTCTTGTGCTGTGTAACAGCAATACAAAACGCATATTGTCACGAGGTTGTCTGTG